GCTCAGCGCCGCGCACATTCGTCAACACAAAATTGCAAGAACTTCACGGCTTGAGGGCTGCGCGTTTTCAACATGTGATTCTCGCCTTCGCGCCGCACACATCCGTCTTATACATGAGAAATGTGCAAGAACATCGCGGGCTTGGGGCGTTTCCTTTCCACATTGTGGTTCTCGCTCTAGCGCCGCACACACTCGCTCTGAACACTTGCAGGGGCTTCACGGATTGAAAGTGTTTTTTTTTCAAAATGTTGTTCTCGCTCTAGCACCGCGCGCATTCGCTTCAAACAAATACAAGGGTTTCACGGCTTGAGGGCGGCACGTTTTCAAACTGCGGCTCTCGCCTTAGCGCCGCGCACATTCCTTTCAAACATCTGTAGGAGTTCCATTGGTTCTCGTAGTTCGCGTACTAGACATGGCGTTTTGGAGCGATTCCGGATCGTCAGGGCGCAACTGTCACCTAGAATCTGTTCTGGCACGATTCAGGATCGTCAAGACGGAACAGTCAGGTTGACTCATGACGCGAAAGTCATGCGAATGGTGTTTTGGCACGCTTCAGGATTTTCACCTGGCTGTCCCCCAACGGGGCATTTTCCTCAGTGGACATGAATCCTCGAAGGAGCCAACTTCTGAAGAAGGAGCTTGGAGGTAGAATGTATTACAACATCGTTGATGAGTCTTTGGTTTACACTGGCCCTCCTCCTTCTCCTCCTCCTCCTCCCTCTCTTCCTCCCCCTACGTCGTCCTGCTCCTCTTCCTCCATCCTCCTCCTCCAGAGTGGCTGGTTGGGGGATCGAGGGAAGACTCCAGCGTCGCAGGCCCTGACCTCGCGGGCGAGCTCAAACACATCACAGAGTGCCGAGGGGCTCTTCTCCTGGGTCGAGCCACGTGCGGTCTTCGAATACAGGTGGGTATGCATTTCTGAAATGTTTTGACAGATTCCAGCGGCTTGTAGATGCTGGGGTTGTTCTGTGATGCTCTAGAGCCAAACTGAAAAAACAAGTCCCCTGGAGGCCTCGGGGTGCCCACGGGACACATTCATTCGGGCTTGATATCCTTCTCAAGGACCTGCTCTTGCCGCACTACCAGTCCCTGCAGCAGAGCAGATCGGGCGTTTGGCCTGAGACTTTCTCGCATGTAGAGTCCTACGCCCTAGATGTTCAATGGCTGCACGTATGGAGCGCAAGCCATTTTCAACATGTGGCTCTTGCCTGATCCTAGCGTTATGTGACCCACGGCGTGAATCTTCTTGAAGACACGAGGGCATGGCGGTGGGTTGTTGAACTCTGTCTCTGGACGCGGAGTTCTGGCTGGTTTCCAAAACATCAGTCAGAAGGTGCCAGCTGCGGCTCCAGTGAGGGCACGGAGAGACAAGCAACTACAGAAACATCCTCTTTCGGAGGGGTCCACGTAGACTTCTTTGACAGGCGCTCGAGACCTCAGGCGGCGCCCCTGGCGCGCTTCCAATGCCGACGCAAGAATCCGCGTGGACCTCCGAAAGCAGATGCTTGCTTTTCTTTCCTCCGAGGGACGCAGGCCCCCGGTGCCCAGCAGCGCGCGCTTATGGCGGTGAACTCCCCCCCCTCCCCGATCGCCATTCTGTCGCCGAGGCCGAGGCACCCTTCCTCGCTCCTGCCCCACGCGAACAGGCAGCCGTCCTGCCCGGGAGGAGGGCATTCAGCAAAACTATCGTTTACCCCGTCTCTCCCCCAAAGCGCGACACCCACACAGCCCCAATGAAGCTCGCGTCAATGTGCCATGCAGACACATCGAGCACAACGTAGCCGTCACCCTGTAGCGGGCGAGCCACCTCGCATCACTGGGACGGAACAGGGAGCGAGAACGGATTCCAGGCAGGAGGGCAGGCGTCATACGTACGCCAATCGTTCTTTTTGCCCCCCTTCCACACACCGCTGCAGCGATTCCCGAAGCTCTCGTCCAGAAGCTGGCCGACAAAATCAGCTGGTTAATACATGACCAAACGACCAGCGACGGCCGCCAGTGTGGTGTCTAGGAACACCGTCTGCTGCTAACCCTTCATGCAGTCTTGCTGCGTAGGCCTCTCAAGATCGTGAACTGAAACTTGTCTTAGACAGGCCTCCTGCCCTAATGTACCAGGCACTCGGCCTGTCTGTGCTCGATGTTGCTGCTGCCCTTCGCAGTAGCCATCAGACACACCTGAGTAACGTACTGACAGTCGTGTTGAAGGTCGTGGTGGTGGGTGTGTTAGTGGCGGCGGTGAAGACATACGTAGCAGAGCTAATGGCAATAATGGTCGTGCTTGCAATGATGCAAATGCGTTCCGTACTAACTCGATGCAGCCGCAGACGCACGATGAGGGATGCTGGACCGAAACGAGATGACACACACACACACACACACACAAACTACGCAAGCTAATCGTGAGAGAAACCACACAAGATCGACGCCGTGCGAAACGTCTAAGACGGATGCAAACTTGGCAACTGACGAAGCACTCTCTAGTTTAAGCTAGACGGAAGCTTAGACGGCGTGAGCACGAAACACACCAGCCACAGTAGCATATGTGCAATGCGCAAGCGAACATTTATGCTCGACGGCAAGCTTGTTAAAGCAACGGGGCAAGCACGGTGACAACCAAGCCATGGTAAACAAGCTGAAAGTAGTAAGCGAACATAAGAAAACACATTCAGCGCAATCTAGACGACACGTGAAAAAGGCAGACTGTAAGGCAAGCTTGGGGACATGCCAGAATCCAAGCAGGAATGTCTGTGAACGGCGAGCTGGAAAGCGATCTAGAAAGTCAGAGCGAAGGGCGTAGACAAGCCAGGATGCGATCTAGTCATTGCCAGGGCAAGCTACATGAATGAGAGAAGGCATACCAGATGCTAGACACTTCTCAGGGCAAGTGAACGAGGAGGCGCGCCAGAAGAAACCATGAAACCAGAGCAAGGCGGCCATTCCAACGACTACTGGGAAGCTGACTGGCAAGCGAGCCAGAGGGCATGGCCACGGCAACCAAGGAGGAAATCCACCAGACGCCCCGAAGGGCAAACATTAGGCAAACCTCCAGCTACAGCAAGCCGTGAGTCAGAAGCCCCCCTACGCCACATGGACATTCGAGCGGTCGAGGAGCCTACGTCGCAACAACGCGCACCACCACCCAGGCGGCTCGAGAGTCCGACAACGCCGCCCTAGCGTCCGCGCAGGTCAGGTCTCTCGACATTAAACATAAAACAGGAATCGGCGCAAGGCATGTGCTCAATCACGGAGGAGTTTACGCCTTTGTCGCACGGCTCTTTCCATCAACTGCTGATGTGGAATGGATCCTTGTTCCGAGCGTCATGACGCACGGGGTATCGACGTCGTGAGGGTGTGGCTATGTAGGATGAAAGCTGGAGAAGGAGGACGAGAAACAACAACATGTCCACGCTCACGCGGAATGTCCCAAGGCCACGCGAACGGCGATATTGATTAACGGCGATGTTGGGAATCTGGTCTTCGTGGTGCCGAACTCGCGCAGAACGACTTGTAGGAAATCACGAACCACACGTTCCTACACTTCAAACGCGCGAATGCGTCGAGCCAAGACGGCACGGAGAGCTGTATGAAACCACGGACCACGGTTTCCTACAATGGGGTCGGCCACGAACCACCCCTACCTACAATGCCGCAATCGACATCGCCCTTGCCTGCATCGCCGTTAGCGTGTCTACGGAAATCCCCCCACGATGCCACAGTGTGGAAAAAATTCCGCGGCCGGGCAAGCTCCGTCCGCAGTGGCTTCAGGGTCCCCGACCAATGCTGCGCCTTGCCACCCGCCGACACACGGGCGGCGAAGCGTCCGCGAGGGGTCTGGCCTCCTGGCTTTCGAGAGTGCAGTCCTTAGATTGGAGGCCTTCTGGATGGGGTCCGGGCAGATGGGGTCGGAGGATCGCGCCGCATCGCCGAGGCACCACCGATACATCGACGATGGATTGACGATGCATCGGCGACGTCGGCGATGCGTCGGCGATGCGTCGGCGACGTCGGCGCGAAGAAAACCGCGCTCCACATCGAGCCGCGTCGCCGATGCATCGGCGATGCGTAACGATCCTCTGATCCCATCTACTCCGACCCCATCTAAGAGGCCTCGACAGATTGGCAACGTTCAACGCTGCCATGCTCGGCCGCACTCGGAAGCGGCGCCACCCCAGAGCCGCACCCACGGTCTCCCGACCCCACTGCGGTCACCAATCTGGCCCTCCTCCAGCCCACAGCGCCCCCCTCCCCCTCCCCTCCCTCGTCACCAAGGGACGCCGCGGGGAAAGGTGAAGATCCGTCCCCTCTCCCCCTCCCGCAAATGCTGAACCTTCGGTGATCCTTTTCCTCTTCCCCCTCTCCTCCCTCCCTCCTCCCCCGCATCCGCCTCAGACATCCGACGATGTGATGTTTTCCGATCCGCGGCCTGGATCAATGTCGGACGAGGCGGACATTGAGGAACACCGCCGCGAGTCGAAACATCTCATCGTCGGATGCCTTGGTCCTTCTCATCTGCTGTAGATTGGCGAGCGCAGTGGGCATCTCCACCCGCCGCCGCCCTCCTCCATGAGGACGACAAAGTACTCGCCCGCGGCGACCACCTCAGAAATGGAGGGAGAGCGGGGAGGCAAGAGTGGCGGATGGCCGATGGTGGGAACACTACGTGCATCCATGGGCTCCGATCGCCCATGTGTTCGACGAGGTTACCGGGTGAATGCGTACAGCACCCACCCTCTGGGCGCTCCAACCCCCGTGGCTGGGAGGCAACGTGCGCCAGCATCATAGCTCCAGGGAGCTTTTCAGCTTGCGGAGGCCCTCGCGGAGGTGTCCGCGGATGCCTCCGACCTTTTCGGGGGCTCCGCAGGAAGTTCCGGAGGCCTCCCCTGGGGGCCCCTGCTCCGCCCCCTCTTGCCCTCCACCCCTCCCTCCCCTGCCCCCTCCACTCAAGTTCCCGCTGCTGATGTTCGTCCTCTCCTCCTCCTTCCTTCTTCTTCCTCATCCTCCTCCGTTTCCTCCTGCTCCTGCTCCTCATCCTGCGCATCCGCCACCTCCTCTCCCTCCTCCTCCTCCTCCTCCTCCTCTCCCTCCTCCTCCTCCTCCTCTTCCTCCTCCTCCTCAGCTCCACTTGTCCGACTGCGCACAACAAGGCGGGGTCTGTTGGGGAGTTCCAGGTTGCTACGAGACGCGTCCGCAGATAGCGGATAGGTCAGCGCCAATGGGCAAGGATGGGTCGGAGGCGTGGGCTGTCAGATATGGGGCGAGCGCGCCTAGTTTGACAAGTCAACAATATGGATACTACTCTCCCTCCTCCCCTGGAATTGTCTGGAAGATGTCTCGCCCTCTCCGCGTGCTGTTTTTTTTGTGTGTGTGCGTGTGTGTGGGGGGGGTAAAACAGAGGATGTCAACTACTGGTGTTTCTGATGTCTTTGTTGTTGTGCCATACGGTGGTTTCCTTTTTTTCCTCTCAAATGGTGTTCCCACTGCAACGTGGGCCGGCGCTTCGCTCCCGTCGTTCAGAATGGAGGTCCCGCTTTAGCGCGGCTCACTGTTCTGGATCCGAGTCTTGCTTCATCGTGGTCGCCAACGTCGTTTCCCCTCCTCCGCATTCCCCTGGTCCTCCTGTTCCTCCCGATCCTTCCGCTGTAGTTCCTGCTGCTGCTGCTGTTCGTCCTCGTCCTGCTCCTCCCTGTCATCCTCCTGCTCGCCCGCCACCTCCCGTGCACGCAGCTTCAATTTTTCCAATTGCGCATAACACGATGCGGTCTTGTTGTTGGAGTTGCAAGTCGGCTACGACACGCGTCCACGGATGGAGAAAAAAAAACATTAACAGGGAAAGGATGGGAGGGATGGATAGGAAACAGTCGAGCTGCTACCAGAAGGAAATATGAATAAGGAACGACCCCCCAGATCGGCCCCGGAAGCGCTTGCAAGTACGAGGAGCGCTAGAGAAACTGCCATGGAAAGGCCCCAAGCATATCGAGCCTTCCGATCCCAAACTGCTACTTCTTTCGGCGTCCTGACAAGATCAGATGAGGCGCGAGCGCACCCAGCTTGCCCTCCCTAGGGGAACGAACAATGACATAAACATAAAAACTCGGAGGTCCGCGCGCATTTCTCGGATCAGTGGTGGGGCCCCCTGGCGGCGCCTCCGGCGCCGCCTCCGGTGAGCTCCGCGCGCCAGGGAGGGGGGTCCATCACCGATCCGAGAAATCCGCGAGGACCTCCGAGTTTTTATGCTTGTTCATTGTTCGTTCCCCTACTCCCCCTCCCTCCCTCCCCCCCCTCGCTCCCTGGCCCATCCCCCCTCCCCTCTGGTCCCCCTTTCCTCGCCTCGCATCCCCTTCCAGCGGGGCCCCCGAAGCCCCCGTGAGTCGAGGGCCCCAGAATTGAAAGGGATGGGAGGGAGGGATAGGATATCGGATAATTCGCGAGCGCACCTAGCTTGCCCCCTCCCCTCCCCTCCTGTCCTTTCCTCGCCCCGCCTCGCCTTCATGCAGGGCCTTCGAAGCCCCCATGAGTCGAGCGCCCCAGGGGCAGCGTTGATCCCGAGGCTCCACTGCTTCGGCTGCGACAGCGGGCCCCGAGTTGCTCCTCGCCCCCCCCTCCTTCCTGCCTCCCCACCCTGCCCCAGCTCGCCGGCTCCACAAGTAGGGGGCCCCATGCGAACCCCACCCTCCCCCTCAGAAATCGTGGGGGGTAGGGGTAGGGTTCGCATGTGGCCCCCTAACAAGTACACAATATGAAGTCTGGGGAAATGTTCGGCCCCACTCCGCGTACTGGTTTTTTCCACAGGATTATTTGTATTGTTTTTGTTGCTGCTCTCGCTGAAGCGCTGGCCTCATTTTCGGGCTACCGCTCGTTCCGAATCGTGCTCCCGCTGCAGCGCTGGCCTCATTTCTGCGCGTCCGCTCGTTCCGAATCGCGCTCCCGCTGCAGCGATGGCGTCATCATTTCCAGCGCCATGCCACGGTATGGTTCTCGGTCCTCCCAAATAGGCTCCAACATCTAAAATATGGGCCCTCCGAAGAAACAATCAGAAGTGGTTACATACTCTGTGTCGATTCGTTGATTTTTTGGGCCGCAGAAGCCCCCACTTTGGGGCGTCGCCACGCCATGCTATGTCAGGCTACGCGTCTTCATCTCCGCGATTCCGCGCTTGTTGAATTTCCAAATGCGGCTCTCGCTGAAGCGCTGGCCTCATTTTCGGGCTACCGCTCGTTCCGAATCGTGTTCCCGCTGCAGCTCTGGCCTCATTTCAGCGCTTCCGCAGCGCTGGCGTTATTATTTCCAGTGCCATGCCACGGCATGGTTTTCGGTCCTTCCAAATCGGCCCCAAAATCTAGGAAATGGCCTCCCGAAGAAATCATCGGAAGTGATTACGCATTCGGTGCCGATTCAGTGAATTCTTGGGCCGCAGAAGCCACCCCCACTTTGGGGCGTCGCCACGCCATGTTATGTCAGGCTACGCGTTGATCTTCAACACCATGCTATGCCATGTAATGCTATGCCATGCTAAGACATCATATTGTGCGAATAGAGAGGAGATCTACGCTATGGTAAGGGATGGGATAGGGGGGGAGGGGTAGGACGTCAGATACGACGCGAGCGCACCTAGCTTGCCCCCTCCCCTCCCCTCCTGTCCTTTCCTCGCCCCGCCTCGCCTCCAGCAGGGCCTTCGAAGCCCCCGTGAGTCGAGCGCCCCAGGGGCAGCGTTGATCCCGAGGCTCCACTGCTTCGGCTGCGACAGCGGGCCCCGAGTTGCTCCTCGCCCCCCCCCTCCTTCCTGCCTCCCCCCCTTTCCTCGCCTCGCCTCCCGTTCCAACGGTGCCTCCGAAGCCCCCGTGAGACAAGGGCCCCAGTGTTAGGAGGCAACTTCTGGGAAGTCTTCGTCAGAAGGATAAGGGAGAGTTGAGCCCCATTGGGAAGCTGTTACGCTGGATTAGGCAGCGGATTAAGCGGGGTTGAGACGGATTATAAGCAGGATTCAGCCAGATAAAGCGGGATTAGACAGGATTTAGTTGGACTTCGGACTACGGCGAAGTCAGAATTTGACCTCCCAGGCGTTGCATCCAAGCCAGGAGGAGCGTTGATCCCGAAGCTCCACTGCTTCGGATGCTGCTGCGGGCCCCGATCTGTCCGAGCAGGAGGGCTGGGGATGAGAAGGGTACGGCAGGTTCGTGCCGTGACGACGTCGGCGTCGGTGTCTGACACTGGGTGGATCGCTCAACCTGATGAGTCGCCGCCGCGCCGACACGACACGAACCTGCGACAAGGAGAGGATGCATAATAAGAATAACGGTGTAAATATCAAACTTCGGAAGGTCCGATCGGATTGATTTGAACGGCGCTGGACCCCCTCGGCGGCGCCTCCCACCCCACCAGGTAGATATTCCTCAGATAATGTGCTAGCGCCAACGTGTCTGCCCACCCAAGCCATTCAAGACGACTCGGCCGATATAATGAGGGCCGAACGGGGCAACACACATTCGGCTGACACGTTTCCTGAGGATCATACGTGTCCTGAAGATAATCGACAAGGATGGGGGCCCAGCGCCGATCCAAGACATCCGCGCGGACATCCGAACATTTAGTCGTATGTCTCTCCTTTTCATTCCTCCAGCGTCGAGCGAGGGGGGAAGTGAGAAGGAGAAGGCCTTCTCAGAAGGCGGCAGAAGTTCTCAGCAACCCTCGCGCCTTCTAGGAAATGTTCTGTGCCTTCGGGGAAGGCTTGGCAAACGCCTCGGAAGACAGGGAGACTTCCGAGCCATTTCTGAGAAGGCCCGCCCCTTCTCGCTTCCCCCCCGGGCTCGCCGCCCACTTTGACCGCGCTCTCTGCCCACGCGCCCTTCATTGATGCACGGCTTGACTGGGGCAATGGCCTCGAATCCGCTCCCCCGCCTGGGGCCTCGGATCCCCTCCCCCGGCCTCGGGCCTCGGCCTCGGACTTCCCCCCCCCCCCGGGCTCGCCGCCGATTTTCCTTCGGAGCAGGAGGAGGAAGATGCGCCCGCGGCGGCCACCTTGCGGAGCTTCTGCTCCTCCCGCGCGGACTCGGGCCTGCCCCGCACCCAAGGCCGGCACGGCGCGGCGAAGTGGCGCGTGCCCCAGGTGCCTGGGGAAAGGGGGGGATATCGCGGGAGGGGGAGGTGGAGGAGGATATCGAGGAAAGGGGGTGGGATATCGCGGGAAGGGGGGGTGGACATCGACGGGGGGGGGAGATATCGGAGGGAGGGGGAGTCGGAGGAGGAGGAGGAAGAGGAGGAGGAGGCGGAGGAGGAGGACCAGTGTAAACCAAAGAGTCAACAACGATGTTGGAATGACCCCTGCCTAGACGTTCACTCTTCTTAGACCCCTACAACGGTTTATTTCCATTGAAGGAACTGCACTGTTGGAAGACAACCGTTAGAAGATCCTGACTCGTGCCAAAACATTGCTCTCGGGATTTCAACGCCACGTGTCAATCTGATTGCTGCGTCTTGACGATCCGGAATCGTGACATAATCCCGTTTTTGGGACTTCAACACCGCGAATCAACTTAACTGTCGCGCCCGCATAATCTTGAATTCGTCCAGCACACCATTTCTGATACGTTGATCATGGGAATCCGTGAAATGTTTAGGCGCTGAAGCGAGAGCCACATTTTGAAAACGAGCCGCCCTCAATCCGCGAAGCCCTTGTAAATGTTTAAACGAATGCGCGCGGAACTAAGGCGAGAGCCACATGTTGGAAACGACCCGCCCTCAGCCCGTGAAACTCTTACAAGTTCTTAAAGCGAATGTGCGCGGAGCTAAGGCGAGAGCCACATGTTGGAAACGACTCACCCTCAGTCCGTAAAACCTCTGCAAAATTTAAAATGAATATGCGTGGAGCTACAGCGAGAGCCACATGTCGGAAACGACCCGCCCTCAGTCCGTGAAGCTCTTGCAAATTTTTAAAACGAATGTGCGCGGCGCCAAGGCGAGAGCCACATTGTGGAAACGACACGCCCTCAGACCGTGAAGCACTTGCAATGTTTTAAATGAATGTGCGCGGAACTACAGCTTGAGCCACATGTTGAAAGCCACCTGCCCTCAGTCCGTGAAACTCTTGCAAATGTTTAAGCGAATGTGCGCGGGATCATAATTGGTGAAGAGGTCTCAGGCGAAACGCCCGGCCCGCTCTAAAAACTTGCCTCGGGGTGCGACAGGGAGAAGTTCTTTATAAGGAAAAGGAATCGAGCTATGAAGCTATGGCCTCAGCGAGGGCCCCGGCCGCCTCGGCAACTTCACTCAGGGAAATTCAGTCCCGACTTTGGCGGAGTCCCCTTTCGAGTCGACTCAAAACCTCCCGATTTGTCCTGGTCGGAGGCTGACACGTAGCACGGAACCCTCGGAGACTTTGCGCCGCGAACCTCCCGCAAGTCGTACAAAACAAAACTCCGTTCAGAAGGGATAAGGAATGGGTCTCGTGGCACTGGATAGCCAACGGGTGAGCAAGAGCAGAAACCGCGGCACCAGGACCCGATACCTCATCATCGTCACGTGGCGCGACAGAGCGCAGGAGACGACGGCCCGGCACCTGCCAAGCCAGAAAAGTCGCAAGACACCTTTTCAAATCAAACTTGAAACCGCACACGTTGCACTCAGTGAGGGTGCGCAGCTGGAGCGGGGAATGGCCCTGCTCACGCGCGCAGTGCATGTGTTCCTGCGCACTCGTGCGCATGCCACCCCGTCGAACGTGGTGCACGCCCGCGTCATGACCGATCCGCGCGTGCTCGACCTCGCACGGACAGGTCGCACGAACTTCACGCTGCACTGCGACCAGACGTCGCATAATCCTTGCATGCGTATCATCGACTTGGCGCGTGCGCGCAGCAAGCACCCCTGGAACCTCGACCCTACGAGCTGATTCGGCTGCACGCGCGTCTGCGGCCCCATTCAGGAGCCGTTCAATCGAAGCGAGACGAAGGGCGCTGATTTGGGCTCTTAGTGGGGCGACTCTTAATCCAACGCAGGTCCACAAACCCAGCACGCTGGTCCAAGACGACCCACAACTACACCCAAAGGTCGAGCACGTGCGAGCACATAAAAGCCCCACGGGGCCGCCGAAATCCACGAACAAGAGGGAGATAATCTGATAGTATCAACGCGCGCCCAATCGCATACATCATCACATAGATGAGAGCGATAACTTCAACACGAAAGGAAGACTGACACGGGCCAGGGAGAGAGCCAGCGAAACCTCCGTCAACATCATCTAGCAAAACATCAGTCGAGCAAACCTCGTCTCTCCCCCTTCACTCTCCTCGTCTGCCTGTCTCCCATTTGCGCTTCTTACTTGCAAATTGCAAAACAACCCCGCAGTGGACTTCCGTGGAGCTGTACCCCACATGGGCCACCTGGCCCTACAATCGGGCCCGCCCCCTCAAGGGCGACCGGCCGAGGGGGGGTGGTTAACGTTAACGCTTGCCTTTGCAAGCATCAGTGTCAGTGTCAGTGCCAGGAGAGGAGGAGGTAGGGAGGAGGAGTGAGGAGGAGGAGAGGAGGAAGGAGGAGTCAGGAGGAGGAGGAGGGGAGGGGATGGGGAGGGGGAGAGAGGGGTAGAGGGAGGAGGAATGAGGGGAGGAGAGAGGAGGAGGCGGAGGGAGAGGAGGAGGACAAGGAGGAGGAGGAGAGAGGAGGAGGGAGAGGAGGAGGAGGGAGGAAAAAAAAGGAAGGAGGAGGAAGGAGGAGGGAGGAGTGAGTAGAGCCTCCTAGATAGGGTCGGAGTAGATAGGGTCGTAGGATCGCGCCGCATCGCCGATGCAACGGCGACGTCAGCGATGCATCAGCGACGTTGGCGTGGAGGAAATCGGGCTCCACATCAAGCCGCATCGCCGATGCATCGACGATGCGGCGCGATACCCCGACCCCATCTACTCCGACCCCATCTGCGAGGCCTGGAGTGAGGGAGTCTGCTTGTCCTTCGGGCCGCGTCGTGGACAAACTGGCCAGGGCGGCGTCCGGAAGACAGCCTAGTGGACTGGCTTCGGACGACAACGAGCAGGCCTCCTGGTGTGGCGACGCGTGCGCGACAACAACATGTTGTTGGGTGCATGTTTGTTTGCTAATTTCTTTATCCGGGGATCGTTGTCAGGCCTCTGGGCCTGCAGAGAAGCTGGTTTCATAGGTGCTCGGGGATCGAGAGCTCGGAGAGAGCGTGATCCACCGCCGCTTTACTATGGAAAATTGCCAGATGCCACCTTTTTCCTCTCGAAACCCGGGTTCCCCCCCCCCCCCCTCCGAAAATCCCCCCCCCCTCCCTGCTGGAACCCTTCCCTCCCCCCCCCCCATCTCCCTCATGGCATAACCCCCCACCTCCCCTAAACCCCCCCCCCCCCCACCCCCGACTCGAAAGCCGGGGGGGGGTCACTACCGGTTCCCCACCCCCCTCGAAAACCGGAAGGGGGGGTCACTACCGGTTCGAACCCCTCCCCACCCCTCCTCTCACCTCCAGCAAACGACTCCCGGTCCCTCCCACCGTCCCC